GTGAGGTGAATGGTGAGAGAAAGAAGCAGCAAGAGAAGAAAAAATGAAGAGGAAAGAGAAAATTTCTTCTCTGAAACACTGGGTGTACAGGACAGGTAATGTATTTCATGTGGGGAAAAAAAGCATCCTGAGAAACTTATGTTTTGATTCTTTTTGTGGTGGAGAAATCATCGTTCAAAAGACCAAATCAGACTTTTTTTGTTGAAGCATTATTGATAGTTGTTGGCTCAATGGAGCATATTTCTATAGAGTGGAAAACTTTTTCCACTTAGGAAAGTCTTAGGATTTTCTCCCTGAGGAACACAGAACACATGCCATTGACATTCATTTTAATTGTGTTTACACATGGTCTGCTAGGCTTCATTTCAAATACTGTTCATTATGTTCAGCTATCAGACCTCTGAGACGCTCATTCCTGGTGAATGCAATTCTCTGCACTTAAGAGAGAAGAACAGCACAAAAATATTGGGACTAACTATAAGAAAAAATCAAGAAATCTACTTTAAATTGCAAGAATTTATAAGAATGAAATAGAATAAATGTGAATCTCAGACTGTTTGTGTGTTGTGAAAGAAATTCCCGCAACACTGGACATCAGATGATTCCACATTTTTCTCAGCTAAATAAATTGTTCTTCTCTTAATGATTCAACTGGAATTGAGTCAACAGAACTGCCCATACAAGGAAAAGGGATTTGGTCCAAAATTTCATTCTACTTTAGTAGAGTGGACTACAACTGGACACGATAATTAGTATTTTTAACAAATATTGACCATGTTTCCTATTCAGGTGTATATATATGCTGTCTTTTTGTCTTTGAAATCTTCATGCAATGGCACCGTAAAATGCTAACATATAAATGTTTTTGATAAATGGCTCTAGTTTGCAGGAAATGCAGTGCTATGACACAGCAACATCACTTAAAACAGAAGGTTTATAATAAGGCCAATGATACCAATCCTGCCAGCTCCAGGATTAAAATGCAAATTATATCAAAGTAGTATGGGTCTGCCCTGCCTGAATTAGGTCTCTGCTTGGTTTATGACACTTCATTATTATATCTATTTATTTATTTGCATCGTGATGGCATGTGGGAAACTCGGTGATAAATTAGGGTCCTATTTGTGGTAGATGCTATATGAGCTGGAACAAGATGAAAGTCCTTCACCTGACGGGTTTTTAATAGAGACAACAGAAGACACAGAAACAAAAGGGCAAGGAGATATTGAAGCAATTCTGGTTAGAATGGTAGGCTGTAATCATAGTCCAGTGGCTGCCTAAGTATTGTCTTGTTGTTTTTGTTTTTCTTTTTAACTTGTTTTTGAAGGTCATCACAACAAAGTACTCTCAAAAAAGAGGTGGCACTGCAATGGAGGGACAGCTTGTGGCTAATCATGGAGAAGCTTCTTTTGAAGTCAAGTGTGTGGGAGGGGAATAGCATTTTGGATGCAGCAGAGACAGGTATAGAGCTTTCCATTCTAATTGAGAGCTGAGAAATACCTTTACGAAGGCCTATGAAAACAAAGATGGCAAGAAGTAGAGAAAATATACTGGAGTTTAGAAGGTAGCAACATGTTATAACTCTGGAGGAAGAGGATATTCCTTTTTTCATCAATTTTTTGGGTTGTGTAGAAGGGAAGAAATTGTTTTATAATGAAAATACTCTATACAAACAAAACCAATCTGCAGAATGGACAAGTTTGTCCTTGTGTCTGTTGGCAGAAACCACAGGTCCAAAAAAAGAAAACTTATAAAGTATTTCCTGAGTTGGGGTGCCTTTGTCAGCAGTGATAATTATAGAGGATGTGGGAAGACAGAATTTACATGAAGGCTTTTAATTAAAAGCAAATGCGTATTTGTAATTATTTCCCGAACTTCATGGCAACCTATAATTTTCTTTTTTCATCCGTGAAGTAAAGGAAAAGATGGATTTGGCTTACTAATTTGACTAAATAATTTGCACCCTTCCTCTGATTTACCAGTGTTGTTTTATTGATAGAAAATATGCACTTTGTATTTTGAATGGCTGGGGGTATGTTTTAGCCTTACACTGGTTTTATAGAAAGGAAGAGGCTGGGTGTTCATTTTGGGAACACTTCTAATTTCACTCAGTTCACATTTGATTTTTTTCTGTGACCTGTCTCTTTCTTCTCTATATCTTTTCAGAGATATAAACAAGATGACAGATTTCGTAAAGCACTTACTTAGTGCCTTTTCCTTCCCATTGACACTGAGTACTGTGCAGGGCTGAGTCCTAGGAAGAAGAGTGCCATTTTGTAGTCAGCTGAAGGAGCAAGTAGAATTTTGATAAGATTAAAGAAGAAGTTTTCTGGGCTGAATCCAGCTGTTTTTGTGAAAAAGGGCACTCTGCTCCAGTGCCTTCCAAGTCAGTCATAGCTCAGGGGAAAGCATGGTATTTGCTGGAACAGCAATATATGCCAAGGCACAAATATATGCTACATCTTCTGCTAATGTAAAGGCTTCTGAAAAGGTCTCCCATTTAGATATTAACCAGATGAAATGCTACTAAAACAATTGATTGTGACATGGTCATTGTCTTAGGTAATAGGTCTGTGGTCAAAACAGTTTGAACCACTGCAATGGGAAAAGAGAGGAAAAAAAAATATCTGTAGTACAAAACATGATTTTTATCCAGTGTCCTCCCTACCTCTCCTAGACTCCAAACCAGCTCTTCCCCAGCAATGTAAAGTTTTAAAGAAATGAGCAGATGCAAGGACTTGATGTCACCTCAGTTGAATGAATCAAATAGGTCTGTCTTTATGTAATGAAATCAAGGCAGACAGCAATAGGAAGCAAATTATTGAATAATAAGCTCACAGTTTGTGCTGGGGAGCATTCACGCTTTGTGCAGAAGCTTCTATCCTTCCTATGGCAGTATAAAGGATTTCTTTACACCTTGGTGTCCAGGCAGTTTCTCACTGTGTGTTAGAAGAAATGGTAAATATAAGTTAACAGAGACAGTTTACCAAGTTTTATTTTCTACTCCATGATATGGGCGAAGACAGAGTAAAAATCCTCTCTCTGAATTCAGAGAAGATAGGAACATAAATAGCCATTATTTTTAATTATTTAGTGATAAGACAATTTATCACAGTCCTGAGAAAGATGACTTCAAGGCACATTTTGACTCAAATATTCTCTGAATGAAAAGTTTGCTAGGGTACCAAGACAGTGCTCTGCTCCAGACATTTTCATGGCATAGCCAATTGCAGTATTGGTTGCCAGCAAACTCACAAGTTGCTGCATGGGGGTATAGCTTTTACCTGCAGTTCCTCAAACATCTGCTCAAGGTGTTGAGGCGCTCTGAAGTACCTCTCAGGACCTCCAAATCAGCCATAAAGGGTATTTGGGATCACAACTCCATTTCTCAGCATTCCCTTCAGCAGCTATGTTATCTTTAGCCAAAACCTAGCCCTTGGTATGTGTTTAGACACCTGTTCATACCCATCCATATTTATATTTGTATATGCATGTATATGTATCTACATGCATGGATCAGGAGTTTTATCAGCAAGTAGACATCTAAATTACAGTTCTTTTCACTCTCAGCTCATTGTATAGCTAACAGAGAAAAATAAGCACCTCAGAGGGCGATTTAATACACCTAAAATCTGAATCACTCTTTGAAAGTACATTTCCACTGACCAGAAAGACCTTAAGATGAATAAAATTATGTACCTGGAGTATGAATCTCTCCTGACTTCCTTCTTCCTGTTAAACTTTTCTTTAGATATTAAACAAAAATCATTTTTCCATTTCTCAAAACTTGTGCCATTTCAGAAAAAAACCCCATCCCAAATCAAATCAAAACTAGAAACAAAAAATTGAATCCACACAAAACCCCCCAACCTTCAAATTATCACAGCTTAGGCAAACTGAAATGCTTTGTTTAATATTCAGTTTTTAATAAAAACATCAAAATATAATTTACTTACATTTTGAAAAAAACCCTTTTCAAAATAAGTCAAAAATCTAAACAAAACATTATGGTATCCTTGAAATATTTTTCTCAAAGTATATTTGGCCTTTTAAAACTGACCTTTTATTGTGGAAAGTTTCACTTTTTTTCACCTCCTGCAACATTTTTTTTTTAAATAAAAGAATTCCTGACCAGAGTTTACTTTTATTAATTTATTTTACTTTGCTGTAGTGTGATATTTCCATTCTCTGCAAGGCTTCCTGTCCTCATTGTAATGTTTATGAAATTATCAATTCTGCAAAGGTTTATATGTAATCATATATTATGAGACAGTTTCCCAAAACGCGGTATAGAGCAGCAGCTTCCAACTATCGATGTGGAAATGCCTACTTTATTTAAGAGTTTAATACTTCTGCACAGGCCGTTGGGAGACATTCCTGCCTGACTTTATGAAGATGTGTATATTCCAGGCGTTACAGTCGGGACAGTATATCTGTGTGTAGAAAGGTGCTGGGGTGGAAAGGCAAGAGCCACCACAGCAGCGGTTGTTGCTGGTCTGGCAAGAGGTGGTTAATGCTGATTATTGCCCTGTGCTCCCGGGGGGGCTGGTGGAGTCTGAGAGTGGGAAAGCCGTGGTGGTGGTGGGCAGGGGGGAGTCCTGGGCTGTGGGAGCCGAGGAAGGGAGCAAACTCTAGTGTGCACGAGTTGGTACGAGAGTGAGGTGGAAGTATGGAGGTAGGATGTGTATCTGGGGATTTGCTGCGGGGATTTGGAGAAAGAAAGAGTAGAGCCATGGCTGCTTCTGTGCTTTCACCAGGCTGGCACCTACAGCCACAGGCTGTACCCAGGGCTCCTTTTGCCACCTCTAATGGCTATGTATATAGATGAAGCTAGAGATTTAGAGAATACAAATTTGAGAAAAGTTACAAACCCCTTGACATTTCAAATAAGAACAAAATATGGCATTATTTCAATCAAAGGTATGAAGTTGCCTAATGCATCACATGTTGAATTTGAAAAGATACCTTTTGATTTGCATCTGCATTTTGATCAATTTCAGGTACAAAGCAATTGTAAATCCCATGGACATCCAGACCTCCAGTGCAGTGTTATGGACCTGTCTTAAAGCCATTGCCATCTGGGTAATCTCCATGCTCCTAGCAGTTCCTGAAGCAGTGTTCTCTGAACTGGCCCACATCAATGACACGGATAATGCCACTTTCACAGCATGCATACCATACCCCATGACGGACGACATGCACCCGAAGATCCATTCTGTGCTGATTTTCCTTGTGTATTTCCTTATCCCTCTTGCCATCATTAGTATCTACTACTATCATATTGCAAAGAGCTTAATAAAAAGTGCTCACAACATACCTGGAGAATACAGTGAGCATTGCAAAAGGCAGGTAAGCAATTTGCTTTTTACATCCCAATGAAAGATTTGTGTGCAGTATACACTTATAAATCAAGGTACAGGGACTGTAACATCCAAATTGTTGGATTTCACAGAGGATTAGTTCAGTTTCCATATGCATGAACTAAGCTGAGGATTATCTGAAAAATCTCCTTGTTTTCACAATTACTCAGTATTAAGCCCAATATGTAAATGAATACGAGCAAGGAAAAATATAAATTCAATGCCATCAATGCGTATTCCTAACAAGAAATGGGATTGGTATATGTGTCTGTAAGTGTTGTTACTGTAACTGTTACTTGCGGTCTTACTGAGGAACAACATTTTTGTAGTTAATTCTAGCGGCTTCACCTGTCCCCATAGGCAGCTGTTTTGGGAAGAAATCTTACATGAACTTTTTGAGAATTCTCCCTGTTTTATTTGTGCTTGGAGATGAAAATAGGCAGGGAAATTTTTTCTTAGGGGATCCAAGGTTCTTCTCACACCAAGGAGTGCTGAAAACATGAACTCAGAGAATTAACTGATTCTTTTTTGGCTTTCTCAGTAGATCTTTCTTGGATACAATCATGAACTCACACTTTTCTAATACCCTTTCTATTATAGATGCTATAAAACTTTTAGTATAGGTTCTGTATACCTTTGAGACAAAGCATTTTAAAATACTGGACAAAGCCATTTTCCCTGTAAAGGCACAGGAAGCAATAAGATAGCAACAGGCTGTTCATTAGCAGGAACATTTACATATACAAACAACAGCTTTTGTGGTGAAAGTGCCTCAACCACTTTACACAAGCATTAGTATTGATAGAGAAAAATACTTATGCTCATCAAAACAATTTGGAAGGGTTTTGTCTGCCAATATTTTAGAAAATACTTTTATACTCACTGAAATATCCTTGCATAACTAGCATGTACATATTCTTTTAAAAAGAAAGACCACATTCCCTCATGTCCTTTTTGCTCAGCATTTCATTTCTAGTCTAGCCTGTTTCTTGTCAAAAATGCATACATATTAGCACTTCGTGTATTATTTTTCCTGTGAAATATAGAGAGCCTTTTGGCTGAACCCTCAGGATGGAAACAATATTTAATTTATATCACATTTCTGAACCCACATGTATTTTCAAAGTAAGAACGTATTTTTTTCATTCCACTTAGTTTTTTTCTTTTTGTTAATCTATGAGGCTCAGAAGAATGGAAAATTCCAGTGTACTTACATATCTCCCAGCAAGAGGAAGTATATTCAGACTATTGCTATCAACTCGCATTTCTTTAGGCCATAGCACAAAAGTGTAATATTCACACTATAGCTCTGCACCTTTTAGTCTGCCTTTGCAATCTGTCTGAGTGCAAATCCTACCAAATTGGAATGTTAGTTTTCCCATCTTTTATGAATTCCCCACTGGTTTTGGTTTAGATAGAGCCAAGAAAACTACTTACAGATTTATTTCACAGATTTTGAAACCCTGTTAGAATCAATTCACTTGATTTTCTTCAGAAAATTGAGCAAAGCCAGACAACTTTCCTGCCTTTACAAAACTTTGGTACCTGACACACATAATAAATCTTTTGGGAGGAATATGTAGAACATTTGTGCCTCCCTTTGGTGCCTTCTACCTGGCCAGTTTCTCTCCCTCTCTCAGTTTGGAACCACTTTGTAGCCTCAGACCTTTCAGCCACTCTCAATATCTACATGGTAATCCATTATACTTTAGCACTGCAATTAAGGTACATTTCTTTCATGTCATTACTGAAGATTAAATGAACCTTTCACTTTAACCCTGGAATTAAGATGCTTCAGACTGTGCAATGCAGTTTCGGTGGTTTGTCTAGGAGAGAGGCGTGCAAGCTGAGGCATTTTGGGCAAAATAACGGGGTGTAAGTACCACTGTATAGCTAACACCCTAGCAATGTCACTACATTTCACTCACAATGTCTCTAGATTTCAAAGTCAACAGTTTCTAAATAGCTTTCTAACTAAAGCTAAGTTTCAAGCCAAGCACTGAGATCTCATTAGAAAAGGCAATGTTTCATGACATCCTTTGGTGTGTGCTTTCAGGCTAAAAGCCAACATTTACTTGGGTCATGAATCAGTCTTGCTGCATATGTCACATAGAAAGAGCAACCTTCTGTAACTGCAAACAGCAAGGATCTTTCACTGAAAGTAAACTTAAAGTGGGAAAGGAAAGTAAATGAGATATAGAAAAAGTAATTCAGCCCCTGAAGGAAGCATTTTTACTGGCCTTACTTATGATAGTTGTTAAAGCTAATATAAAGCAGAATGCTATATGTTTTAATTAAATCTGTTATGTGGAGTAGTTCTGTTTGTTGTTGCTCATTTGGATTCTCTTCACCTTTTTAGATGGAAACTCGGAAACGTCTGGCAAAAATTGTTCTAGTTTTTGTTGGCTTCTTTGCTATCTGCTGGTTTCCTAACCACGTGCTATACATGTACCGATCTTTTAATTACAATGAGATTGATCCATCAACAGGACATATGGTTGTTACCTTAGTGGCCCGAGTGCTAAGCTTCTGCAACTCTTGTGTCAACCCATTTGCACTGTATTTTCTCAGTGAGAGTTTTAGAAGGCATTTCAACAACCAGCTACGCTGCAGGAGGAAAGCTCAGCAAGAGAGATCTGCCAGCTACTTGCGCAACTCTTCTGCCATTCAAATGACTTCCCTGAAAAGCAATACCAGGAACACAGTGACTAGCATGACACAACTGAATGGGCACAACTTGAAACAAGATGTGTCATTATGATTTAATAGGTGTAGTTTTTGACCACGGAACAAATTTGAACTTTTTCTTCGCAGTTTGTAACTCACTTTTGGCTCTCATATGCTTAGACCATCCGAGTCTTCAGAACAGAGGATCTGTTAAAGCCTGGCCAAGGTTCTTTCACACCTAGTCTTTCTTTTAGATAGAAGTGAAGAGTATGTTTTATTGAGAAAACAAAACTGACTGGCTTCATATTGTACTTTAAAGTAGCTGCTAATATGTTTAACATATAAGAAAGCAAAACAATAGTGTGAATATTAGTATAGCTGATCTAATATTGCTTTAAAAAGTATAGATTTTCTGATCTGAAAAATATGTATTTTTAACTGAATATTGATCCAGGCTTATGTCTTACCCTAATAGATTTTGCATGGTTTTAGGTGTGCTGTTGTACAAGCATTGTTTATTAAGACTGGTGGGCATTTTTTGACCAATTAAGGAGCAATTGCAATGCATAGATTCTAGTTTCAGATAAAAAAATATTCAAGTATTGAGTGCCAAATCTTTACCTTATTTAAATCCACCTTGGTTTTTCACTTTGGCAGACATACATGATGAGAATTTACTTTTTGGGGCTTCTGTCTGCTGTTGAGGTCAGAAGTTTATCTGCTACAATTACATTCTTTTTGTGATTAACGTCTCAAAAGAAAAATGTGTGCAACGTGCAGGTTTTCTAGAACTCAGTGTCTGAAAGTTTATTTCTCTGATTTGTTAAGTCTGTAACATCATTGGTTTAGAGTATCTACATGCTTTGTATTTGCTACTACTAACTGATCCTGCTGATACCAGTACACAGCTAAGGACACTAAGTGTAATGGGATGTCTGAACATTCGAAGAGGTAAAGTTCTGAGTGTTTTTTTTCAGAGAGGGTCTGTGGCAAGGCTCCATACAGCTCAGAGAAGTCTCAGAGTGCAGAACCCAGGTTAGTACTGACAAAACCAAACTGAAGGATGCCCTGCAGGAACACACCTAACACACTCTGATCACTAATGATCATCCAGCCCATGGGACCAGACACGTTCTAGTCTGAAATAACCCCCAAGTGATGAAACATGGGTAGCTGGCATTGGTTGCTCAGTACCAGCTGTTTGCTGTCTCGATCTACTCTTCTTGCACATACTGTTTACCAGTCTAAACAAAGCCTAAGTACTGTTGAAAATCTCGGGTTTAAAAGACAGTGTTTCTTTTCCTGAAGGCCCTTGTGCAGAAATAGTCAATGCACTTCTGAAAATCCTAGTTGGGCTGCCTAAAAGAAGGATTTTCAAATGTTTTTTGTGAGTCACCCCAGTGCCATGGACAGCCCACAGGTGTTTGTCAGTATTCCAAGGAGGACATTTTCAATGTACATGGTCAGTGCAGAGCTAGGATTAAAAAAGCAGGGAATGGTGGGTGAGGCTGTAGTTACCAATTACCATCCTGCCCAGAATAAATTTGCTAGGAGGGCTTAGGGCTCTTACTTTTCATTCACACTCCTCTGCTGGGGATACCTTCTTATGCAAGGCTTGCAAAGCTGCCCTTCAGACCACAAGAAAGCAAGCAGTTCAGCTTTCAAACACCTCTCTTTTTTGACTCTTTTTTTTTTTTTCTTTTTTAAAATCAGTTCACATGTCAACACAGGTAGTCAAATAGACACAATGACTGAAGCTTGCTGCTGCAAAAACCCATGTAAGGCTACCCATATAAAAGTTTCTAACCTGTCTCAGGGCTGCACCAGCTCTTGGTGAGAGAGCTGATGGGGCCAGAGCTGACTCCCCCCTTATATTGCTGCATGCTGCCAGACTAATAACCATTCTGCCAGCCAGGTGAGAGGTTAGCTGGGGCAGGGTCTGTTTCAGGTCTGAGCTCCAGAGAGGAGATTCTCACAATGTCCTTGTGAGAAGAAAGGGCAGTAATGGCAGACAACGGCACCTTGTGGAAGCAGTTTGTTATAGCCAGTTCAAGAGACAAATGTAATTTTAAATAGCTTTTTTTTTCAAATGGGGTGCAACTGCTCCAACACAGATCTGTCTCTGTCACAACACTGTAGGCTGTACTTCTGCAGTGAATTCTCTAAGGTGAATAGTAGAAAGTACACTAGAAATTCAGATTGGATTTCAGAATTAGTTGCTAGTCTTATAATTTCAAAAGCTGAAGTGCTAATGCAGCGTAGCAGCTTACAGTTTTTTTTTTTCCTTATGAATACTTGCTGGTATTTAGTTCTATTTGTAACTCTGTGGAACCAGCTGAAGTTCAAAATTTCCTTCCCAATTCCCCTACCTTCAAGGCTAGTTATACCTCTACCTCAATTTTTAAAGCAACAAGAAGGTATAGGCATATTGATGTAATCTGTAAATGATTTTAGCTAATTGCCGGAAAAACAATCCCCAACTGTTAGCACTCGACAGGGAAAGTAACAGATTGAAGGTCTGACTGTCACCCAGTGTGGTCCAGCTGGTGAGACCTATAGTATGTAATGTAGTTAAAGTCGTGTGCAGCATTCAAATGAGAAAACTTATGAAGTTCAGTGTAGACCAGTTCCATACTGCCTGCCCTAGCCATACTGCCTGCCCCATGGCTTCAGTGGCTCCTTGGAAGACTTTACACGAAGGAGCAAATTGACATGAACTTGTAAATCTGTCTGTAATAGTTTAGGAAATTGTCACCCATAGCCACCTAACACTGCCCCATCCTCCTTTTTTCTCCATTTCACCTCTTCCGTCTCTCCCTGCCTTAATTCCGTGTGAGCCCACATGTTCTCAGAACTCCTCTTTAATTTTATGCCAGTAATTCTTCCTGGATGCCAGCCAGAGTTTTGGATTCCTCTCTTCTGATCAGTCTTGAATCATTTTCACTCACAGATATTTTACACCCACAAAACACAAAAGCTTAAAGTCTTCCTTTCTCAATTCTCGATGGCGATCATTGACTGTGATCAAGTTTCCCTTTTATTTCTGCACTTTTTTTCTGGTTCCCTGCTTCTCATTTTGTTTGGCAATCTCTCTACACAGCATAACATTTCATAGGACTTCTAAATCCATTGTGTTTTTTATTTCCTGAAGGCATTTGTCTGATGTGGACGTTACCAGATGATACAGGTACCCTACTGGAAAAATAATAATCTAATTTATAGTAGATTTGATGCTTGTGTTTGATTCATACTCTTCACTCAGTGTCTTAAGTTGCTGTGTGTGGTATGGACAACACGAGTCTGCCTTCTGGCAGAACTGCAAGCTACAGCCTGTTCTTTTTTGCGGTGCTGGGAAGGTATTCCCAGGTAGACTGTAAGTCCTTCTTGTCAGGAAATCAGCACAATTTTCATTCATTATTTCCCAGGCCTAATACTCAAAGCCTGTTTTGAGTAAGTAACCTAAATTGTATATGCCTCCTCTCAAATTCTTGTAGCATGGTGTGTGTGGGGAATTAGTTAATCTGTCTGGAGCTTTACTAGGTGTATTGCTAACCCAATATGCACATTTTGGAAGTGTCTGTTACTGTGCTTTGGTACACATTGTATACAAGTACATCTGTATGTATGATGCTATTTCCAGAAAACACTGCTTGCTAACAATTAAAAAAAAGATTGTAGAATGGATTATATGAAGTATTTTCTTCTAACTGTAGTCAAAGAAACAAAGGAAATCTGTAAATGAGATCATGTCAGCTTTTTGGGTACTACATTGAGATCTATGCCAAAACAGTTGTTAAAATACCATCTGATTCTAATTTTCTGTTATGAAAACTTTCTTATTTCAGAAACATTGGTTCTTTTCTATCTTCCTCTCCTGAGTATTGAATTGGTTTCTTTCAAAAATATTTTTGCAATGATTGAGAAAACTTTCATCCCTTCTTACAGTCTTTGAAAATTGAGAGAATAGAGGTAAGTACTGTTTCCGCTATTTAAGAATTTTTTTTTTTTCTAGACTAGAGCTGGTATAAAATAAGTCTGATAGCATCTTGTCACCCCACCCTGCCTATAATAGAAACATTACAATTCTGAATCCTGAAATGTCTGTATGGTTGAATTCTCAACAGACCTGAGGTGCCTTATTTAGCATTACACTGTGAAGTGATAATTATCTTCAACAAAACCACTTTGGTTACAGTACAGAAAAATGTCTTTACTTTTTGCAACACACCTGCTCCATAGATATTTTTCTTCCCTCAGTCAAAACAGATTAACAGAAATATAAGCCAGGAAGAGTCAATTTGGGAGTAGGAGAGAAAAATGCTTTCTTGTAATTTAAATGGACTCATATGAAGTTGAAGATTTGCTGTGTTGATTTCCAGTACCGTTTCTTTCTTCACGTATTTCTAAAATAAGAGTCTGTTGCACGATAGTCAGCCTCTCAATGACATCACAACTTAACCTCACAAAATCACTGGATGGCTTTGAAAATCCACTACATGTTTGTAGTACTTGTAACAATCACAGGGCTCTACATAGATGCCCAGTGTTACCTGCTACTGGCTTCTTCCCTCTTTCTGGTACCGTGCTAAGTCTTCTTATTCTCCTGCCTGCGAAAGGCTAGAGGAGCCCCATCTGCTGTGCCAGAAGTGGGTATGGGAGGAGGAAGAATGAGAACGAGAGTTGACCAAAGAGATATGTCTTCAAATGGTCTTTGCTGGCTCAAAGATTACCAGCATGACTACATTTTGGCAAGAACAGCCTGAAAGCATAAAACTTTTAACAGGTTAGGGGTCCCTTGGGATCTGGATGAGAGAGAAAGACATCTGAAAATGTGCATGCTATAGCTCAAGAGCTGTAGCTTCCCAAAGAAATAGAAAGTTTTATACTTCAAGCTATGGAAATATACAGCTAAGGTAGAACCAAGTACAATTCACAAGTACCTTCAGACACTACTGGGATTGGTCCTGGTCCAGTGGAGTGAAGGGGGAAGTCTGACTGAAGAACTTGACTTCATGTTTTACATTACAGCACATTTTGCAACCGCTAAACTGGCAGGTCAGCATCAGAAGTATATTGCTTAGCCAGATCTGGTTT